TATATATATATATATATATATATATATATATAAAATTAAAAAATCATCTCACCAAATACATCTAATACATTTTCGGCACAATTTTTACTAGCACATCTAGCTTGATAAACCCATCAAGTTGGGACAAATTGGTCCAATCTTTTTTTGGCCTAGAAATAAAGAGTTTCTGTAACGACCCGGCTGGTCACTACACACTACCCAACAGCACGGCATGCACACAGAAAAGAACAAGTATATACATATAATGTCTAGAATATATACATATATACAAGGTCCAATCTGAGCTACATCAGAATATACAAGGACAACCCAAAATAGCCAAACTAGTGGCCAAAACATCAAAATATCAGCAAAATAATGCTCTATCTGCCAGCTGCAGACCTGTCCCAGCTCACCAACCTAACACTGCTCTGCTCCCATACATAGTATGATCATCGCAGTCCAAACCACATGAAAACAACAAAGGGTAAGCTAGCGAAAAGAAACAACATACATATATAAATATATGAATAGTAAACAACTACAATTATCAGCACATCAACCAACTTAACAACATCAGCTTAATATGTAGATAACAACACACATCTCACATCATTCAACAATAACAGCACTGACTTAGCGGCTATAACAGCACCACAATAGTGGCTATAATAGCACCGACATAGCGGCTATAACAGCACCATAATAGTGGCTATAACAGCACCAACATAGCGACTATAACAGCACCACAATAGTGGCTATAACAGCACCGACATAGCAGCTATAACAATACCACAATAGTGGCTATAACAACACCGACATAGCGGCTATAACAGCATACAACTCAGCACAGCACAACAAAATAACTCACAGCCCAGCTAACACAGCTCATATCACAACACAGCAAATCAACATACAACACAACTAAGAAGTATACAACACAGCTTACTACTCACAACTCAGCTCAACAGTTCATAGTACAGTAATATTATAATTCAAAATTCAAAAATCATTACTAACAGCCCAGCTCAGCACAACAATACACATCTATTTCGGCTTAACATCATTATTCAACATGATCATCTAGTCTGCACAGCATATTCATCAATTTTAGCTTAACACAGCCTAAAACAGCATCTATCAACAAGTTTCAGCATCCAGCACAGCTAAACAACTTACAGCACAACAATATACACCAAATATAGCTTAACATCAATAATTGCAGCAACATCTCACAGCACATTAAAATCATCACTCAGTTCAACAACATTCAACACAGCTCAGCTTTTTATCATACGGCATTAACAGCATTAATCAGCATACAGCATATTCAACACATAATACAGATTATCCATCTTGTTTACAACTCATCTATCTTGCCAAACTACCCACCCAAACAACACCAATCAACCTAAGCATCTAAAATAACTTTCAACTTAACCAAATCACTAGAGGTGAAATGGCAAGCTTCACATAAAATAGCGCATCAGGAGTTATACTACTCCTACCATGCTCATCCTTATCTCATATGAAAGATAAGAAGATTTCCTACAACTCTCATGAAAACACCAAGTCCTAATTTCTTCATCTACCTTGTTAAAAATGATAAAAACCGTGACAGCTATAAACAATGTTGGCAGCTCGACCTCTCTTCACTAAAACAGCCATATCTAGAGTTCTAAAACTCCTTTTTGGGTGATTCCAGCGCCATTGGAAAGATAACATCCAAGGCTACAACTTTCATGAAGACTATAAAGTCAAATTCTGGAAAGCAAATGCACGTCCGGCGCATTAAAATCACGCCCGGCGCAATTCTCAACCAGAGACCTACAGAGGTCTATTGCGCCCGGCGCGATTATCCTGAGCCCGGCCCAGTATCAGTAACAAAACATATGATTCACGTCTGATAGTGCGCCCGGCATGGTTCTCTCCACGCCCGGCGTGATTCACCTAGGGATTTCCCATTTCAAATCACGCCCAGCGCAAAGAACTGCGCCCGGCGCAAATTCAAACAGTAACTCTCACCAGTTCGAAAATTCTCATTAAACCTGCACAAATCAAGTCATCCAAACACATGCAATCGGTTCAAAACTCCACATTTTCATCCAACAGCTCAAAAATCCCAGCTTTTTACACATGCAACATCAAACAAGGAAAATCCCCGAATTTTCATCAAAACCCCGGAAACCCCAAAAACCCGTTTCCATCAAATCTCAGCCATCAATCCGCAACAATCAGTCATCATGTGAGTTTCTAGCTCACTAAACAAACAACCAGCAAGAAAATCCTAGCTTCCCTTACCTTGGTGAAGAAATTCGAGCTTCCGGGAAGGAGAAACGGGGAAGAATATGAAGAAGGGCTCAACGAAGAAGAGCAAAGAATATCCAGCTCCAACTAGCTCCACACGACTTGCGTCTGAGAAGAAGAACCTCTAATGAAACACCTCTTCAGCTTGAGAGAAAAAGAGTGAGTGAGAAAAGAGAGTTGAGAGGGAGAAAAGGGGGGACAGCCACGGGTCTCACAGTTTCAATCTAACTTGACCTAACTGACCAA